ATTATTATTCTTTAGTTTGGGTTAAACAAATCAATTTTGCTTGGTTGGAACAGCAGCTACGCTAATTATGTCTCTATTTGTTTCTCTGTTTTTGCCACGGGATTGACATCCACTTTGCAATGATTTGTATCGTGAAAAGCGCTGTACAAATAAACTTGACTTGACTTGACTTGACTTGACTTGACTTTTTCTCATGAACCTCTATGACCTAAATTAAAGCAGCACTATGTAACTTTTTCTGTGTTCAAAATGTGTAATTCAAAATGTATATAATGAGCGAGTACATCATGAATTCATCTTCCAAACCGCATTTTTGTCTTATTCCGAATCACTACGGTAGTAGTTCGTCGCCGCTGCGGAGTAACACATACCTGCGTGAATCGCCATAGACATAAACTTAGAGAAGTAGCTCAGGTTGGAATGTTCTTCCGCGGGATGTGTGCAGATCTGTTTATTAACCGCTAGAGCGCCAAAAGTTACATAGTGCTGCTTTAATTACTTGAAGTATCACCTGTGATTTTCAATCATGTTAACCTCTCAAAATGTTGTCTATTTGAATATATTTTAAAATGTAATTTATTCCTGTGATGTAAAGCTGTATTTTGAAAGTGAAAGTGACATGACGGGTTTAGTGCTCTGCATTTAACCCATCCAAAGTGCACACACACAGCAGTGAACACACACACACCGTGAACACACACCCGGAGCAGTGGGCAGCCATTTTTTGCTGCGGCGCCCGGGGAGCAGTTGGGGATTCGGTGCCTTGCTCAAGGGCACCTCAGTCGTGGTACTGAAGGTGGAAGAGAGCGCTGTACGTTCACTCCCCCCACCTACAATCCCTGCCAGTACGAGACTCGAACCCGCAACCTTTGGGTTACGAGTCCGACTCTCTAACCATTAGGCCACGACTTCCCCAAGGAAATGCGTTGGCCGGGAATCGAACACGGGTCAACTACTTGGAAGGCAGCTATGCTCATCACTATACCACCAACGCAGGCAAAAGAATGCTTGCCATACCGGGAATCGAACCCGGGCCGCCTGGGTGAAAACCAAGAATCCTAACCGCTAGACCATATGGGACGATCAGCATCATTATACTCCAGTCTTCAGTGTCACATGGTCCTTCAGAAATCATTCTAATATGCTGATTTGCTGCTCAAGAAACATTTCTTATTATTGTGATAATATTGAAAACTGCTGTGTTGCTTAACATGTTTTTGGAAACAGCATTCATTTTAAAATAGAAATCTTTTGTAACATTATAAATGTCTTTACTGCCACTTTTGATAAATGTCATGTGTTCCTGCTAAATAAAAGCATTAATTTCTTTAAAATAAACATCTTATTGAGCCCAAACATTTGAATGGTATTATATGTTATTGCTATATTTTACATTTAAATGGACATTATTCAACTATTTACTTACATAGTTCTTATTTATTTAACTGCCATTTCCAAGGGAAACCCTGACAGACATTTTTTAACCACTCCAGATTATTTTATGTTTTAATCAATAAATACAGAATTCTGGCCTTCATAAACATTGCAAGAATGTAATCTAAAATGAAAATAATAATAATAATAATTATTATAATTGACTGTGATAAAACAACTGTAGTAATAATAATAATAATACATTTCATTCATAGCACATATCAAACATAAAATGCAAGCAAAAAAAGTTCACATCAGAATATAAAAATCATTTATTATATACAATAAGATAGATGAAAACTGTAAAAGGCTTCTATAAAGCTAAAGCATGTTCGCAGGCTGCTCTTTATTTATCATTCTGCTTTCAAAGGTTATTGCTAATCATTCAGTGAGTCAGTAAGGAGAGGCTCTCAAAAGATACATTGCAGTTATTACAGGGCTATTGCAGCATTCATTTGAGAAGATTGTAGCCATATATCTCATGCCACATGTTCAAAGAGTGCCTGTAAGACTCTGTGCAACTCCATGTGGGATCCTTCTGTTGCATAACAAGCTCATTTTGCGTCTGCTATCACACATACTACGACACAAGCACATAAGATATGGATTCTTATGGCCAACATTATATAGCAATAATAATAATAATGCATTATATATTAAAAATACAGATTCAGATATAAACATTACAAGCTCTCTATAGTATTTAGCCATAATAATAATAGCTATTATTATTATTATTATAATGAATTAAACATAAAAATATTACCAATATATATATATTACAAATATATATTTAAAATGTTCAAATAGATTAAAAATTAAATTTAAAACAGTAGATATAAATTAATTTGATTATTGTAATGCATTTGAGTGTAACTCAGAGTGCAAACATCACAGTGTGTATTTCTTGTGAAACTCAGGCAAAGTCAGAGAGCAGAGTAGAGTGGATTAGCATCACGTGACCTCTGACCTGCATGCGTACCTCTCGTCCATATGTAGCCTATAGCATAGAGCGCCAGCTAAGAGGGGAAAGTGCCATTGTCAGGGCTTTCCATTGACAGTAAAATGCTTACTGGCGCTGCGGGGAGAGCCTTCTGGACTATGCGATGACCCTGCGCTTTGGCACAGGCAAAGTCTGATGACGGCGTGTTTCTATTGTACGCCGAGCGCCTCTGTACTCCCCTTGCCAGGGTATAAAAGTTACAGCACTGGTCAGAGGGGGCCAGCACGAGCCAGCCAACCTAGCACAGCTGTACTCAAGCAGGTAAGAGCCCAGGTACAACTGATACAGCAAAAGCTGAGCCCCTTCACTATCTCACGGATGTAGTAGGGAATTGCCCTGGATTCACTTGTTTTTCAGAGACTGGAATCATTTTTAAATGTGAAGCCCAAACCGGCAGGTGATCCCTAACCGGAATGATCCCTAACATTCTACCCCTGTCCCACAACACCAGTCCCATATGGATATTTTGGATTATACGCACCAAGCCTCATGACATTTCCCCACCCTTTGCTCTTTTCTCACAGACGTTCTTGATCCCCTTCATCATGTCTCAGACCGCCAAGTCCGCCACCAGCCAGGGCGCTGATGCCAAGGACAAGGGAGCTCCCGCCCCTGCCGCCACCAGCAAGGCTTCCAAGACCGGAGACCCCGGATTCATGGGTAACTACAAAGTAAGTATCTGCATTCAACTGGTTTTAATGATCGGATTTTGGCAAACAAAACTACCTACAGACATTGTAATTAGCATGAAACCTACACTCTTAAAAGTAAAGGTTCTTTATTGGAATCCATGGTTCCATGAAGAACTTTTAACATCCATTGCAAAAAAAAAAAAAGGAAATAGGTTTTTTAGATCATTAAAATGTTCTTTTAGGAGCTTTTAACAAAATGGTTCTCTGGGGAACTAAAAGGATTCTTCTACAGTCTTAAAAATAAACATACTTTATTGGCTTCTATGGTTTCATGAAGAATCTCTAACATCCATGGAACCTGCATTTTTACAAAAAATGTATTAAAAAAAATGTATAGTGGAAAAAGATTCTTTAGATTGTTAGAATGTTCTTCACACCAAGAAAAAATGGTTATTTTAAGAACTGTTCACTGAAAGGTTCTTTGGAGAACTAAAAAGATCTGAAAAATACAAGTCCTTTATTGGCTTCTTTGGTTCCATGAAGATCTTTATTAAACATCCATGGAGACTTTCCATTGCACTAAAGGTTCTTTATAATGAAAAAAGTTCTTTAGATTTGTAAAATTTGTTCACACTAAGAAAATAAATGGTTTTAAGAAGGTTCTTTGGGGAACCCAATATGGTTCTTCTAAGGCATCGTTGCAGAAAACCCCTTTTGGAACTTTTATTTTTAAGAGTATCCACAAAGACCAGCTAAATTGTGAAATTAAGAAAGTAAGTAGGAAACCTGGTCATGGTCTACTTCTTCTTCTCTTGCAGATCTTCCTGTTCGACCAGGAGAACTTCCAGGGCAGGATGATGGAGGTCCAGAATGAGTGCATGAACGTTTGTGAACGCGGGATGGACAGAGTCCGCAGTATCATTGTTGAGTGCGGCCCGTAAGTCACCGACACGACCAGTGGATATTATCTCACGTGGATGGGAAAAACAGAGGCTGTAGCTAAATCATTGAGATACTATTAGTTTTTATTAGAATATTGAATTTGATTTTTTTTAAATTGAATAAAAAATTTTCTGTTACAGTTTTAGTAATTTTGTTTTGTGTTTTTGTCATTTTTATTAGAATTTTTTATATGTCTATATAGTTTTTTACTCATTTTTATTTCAGTTTTAGTTTTAGTTCTATTTTTTTTTACTTTATTTACATAAAGTTACTAAATGAAACTGATACTTTTAAAAATATTTTATTTATTTCAGTTAACGTTTATTTTATTTCAAGTGCCGAGAATGTATTTTCACCATTTCAGTTTTAGTGTTTCTTAACTATAATAACGCTGAGCTAAATCTGAACTCGTTGGAACCATCCTTTTCCCTCCGTACTCATGCTGTCATCCCTCCATCCCTCTTTTTTCTCTCGTCCACGTGTTGCAATCCACTGTCTGGTACGCATCTCTCCCTGCTGTCCATGTCTTCAGCTTTGTTGCCTTCGAGCAGACTAACTTCCGTGGCGAGATGTTCATCCTGGAGAAGGGCGAGTATCCTCGCTGGGACACCTGGTCAAACAGCTACCGCAGTGATTGTCTCATGTCCTTCAGACCCATCCGCATGGTAGGACACTTGGGAGGGCGTCGCAACTTTTCCTTATTGAATTTAAATGCACATTGCTAATTGGTCCAAATGTGTACAGGACCCCATGGAGCACAAGATCTGCCTGTACGAGCTGTGTGACTTCCAGGGCAACAAGATGGAGATCCAGGAAGATGACGTACCAACCCTGTGGGCGCATGGCTTCTGCGACAGAGTGGGCAGCGTGAGGGTCCCCGGTGGAGCGTGAGTACCAAATCAAAACCTCAACTAACAGCTAACAGCAATGCTATCCCATGTTTTACACACTCTGTTCCTCTTTTGGAAGTGGGACTGGGAATCCCACTGATGAGCTGCGCAAAACCACGTTCATATTCGCGCGATTTTTTGCGCAGCTCATCAGTGAACAACGGCTCTGTTTAGTTAATGCTGCTCAATGTGAAAGCACGCACGTGATGGAGATTTACCGCTGATTACAGAACCGGCTTTCTGACAAGATGCGCGTTAAATATCGCATGCGATTTATCGTGCAGCCCTAGTTTATTGTCATATGTGGGGTTAATCTTTACCCTGACAGCTGACTGTTACATTCAAAACAAATGTCATTCAGGGTGAACAGTCAAACTGCTGCTTGTTTTTAAAAGAAATGCACGTGTTATGCATTGAGAGTTGTTCTATGTAACTAATTATACATATACAGAAGCACATTTCTACCATTTTAATGCACTTTTTTTCATTAGCTATTTTGGATAGCGCACAGTGACCTTTTACCTACTTTTATTCTGCAAGTTCTGCGCATGCGCAGATATATATATATATATATTCTGATGTAAATACTGTAATATTCAAATATTTTTTACTGATTAGGTTTTGATTTAGTGTTGCAATTTATGCAGTTGTCCTTATTTTTGCTGAATCACATTTATTTTGCAGTTTTGTTTAATCATTTTTCATTTAGTAAATATATACAGTATACATGCTAATATCATCTTCTTTTCTGTATTCATCAGCTCTGGGCATGGCGGTAGGGCATGGCGTTCGCTGTTTGAGCCAGCTTGCGGAGCTGCCAGAGTTGCACCAGATGATGAGGCAGACATGTAGGGATTATGCTCAAAAGGAGCTTGCGCCAATCGCTGCCCAGCTGGACAAAGATCACAAGTTCCCAACCAAGCAGGTAAAAGGAACCTCAGCCATGGAGCTCCACAGTAGTCTCTGTCCTTTGCTTAGAGCATATGAGGATGTTTGTGGTTGATTGTAGGTACAAGAACTGGGAGCGATGGGTGTCATGGCTGTAGAGGTACCAGAGAGTCTGGGTGGAGCTGGAATGGATTATCTCGCATACTGTCTCGCTGTGGAAGAGCTCAGCAGAGGATGTGCATCGACCAGAGTCATCGTCAGTGTGAATAATGTGAGTCGCCTTTTATTCTGTGATTGACTGAATTCTGCTGAACCTGTTTAAGGGTGCGTTCACACTTCGTAGTTCGGTTCGTTTGGTCCGGACCAAAAAAGAAAACGATACATTTGGTCCTGGTCCGCTGAGCATTCACACTGGCATTTTTGACAGCGAACCTAAACATACCAAACCTAAAGGCATAGTGATACGTTCACAACCTGATTGGTCGGGTTGAATGACGTATATTTCGCGACGGAACTCACCGAATACCCCCCAAAAAATCTGTGTTCGACTTAAAAGGGATAGTTCACCCAAAAATGAAAATTTGATGTTTATCTGCTTACCCAGTCAGGCGCTGGCTGTTGAGAAGAACGCGCTCAGTACAGTTCGGACATTGCGGTGAAAATCAGAGGTAAAAAACGATATAAATACTGTTCAGTTTCTTGCACAAACCGATCGTTTCGTGTTTTTACACATCAATGTATCGTCACGAGCCGCAGGGTTTAATTTGGTTTTGTTTGTGTATGTTTTTTTTTTTACTCTCAAAGCCGTGATTCCCATGCCACCTATCTCTCAAGTGGACCATTGACACTCCTAATTGAGATTGTAGATAGAGTGTCAATGGTCCATTTGAGAGATAGGTGGCAGTAATGCACTTATAAGTCTGCGATCCGCCGTAAAGCAAGAAGAAGAAGACGACAGTCAGGCGCTGGCTGTTGAGAAGAACGCGCTCAGTACAGTTCGGACATTGCGGTGAAAATCAGAGGTAAAAAACGATATAAATACTGTTCAGTTTCTTGCACAAACCGATCGTTTCGTGTTTTTACACATCAATGTATCGTCACGAGCCGCAGGGTTTAATTTGGTTTTGTTTGTGTATGTTTTTTTGACTCTCAAAGCCGTGATTCCCATCCACTTACATTATATGACTGACAGTAGGGCTGTGCAAAAAATCGAATGCGATTTTCATGCGCATCTCGTCAGTAAAGCCGCTTCTGGTGATTAGTAGTAAATTTCCAGCACGTGCTTTCAGATGGTGCAGCATTTACTACACAGAGCCGTAGTTCACTGACAAGCTACACAAACTCGCGTTCAAAATCGGCAATGAATCGCCTGCGATTTTGAACGCGATTTTGTGTAGCTTGTTGTCTTCTGCATGTGACCAGATTGCTGTGTTTTAGTCGCTGTACCTGGGACCAATTCTGAAGTTTGGCACAGAAGAACAGAAAAAGCAGTGGATTACACCCTTCACCACGGGGGAGAAAGTGGGCTGTTTCGCTCTGAGTGAGCCAGGTAAACAAAGCTGCATTTTTTCAAGAGCTCTGTCTGCTTTCTAAACACAGGTGCATGGTTATACTCCTTCACACAACCATTAATTGTGGAGCCTTATATTGAAATGATTTCGTATATCACTAGATCCATAGAGTTGCCATGTTTACACTAACATCAATGTGAGCTTGTTTTCATCTTTGTATGATATGAAATATGAAATATTTTTGCTATAAAGGAAACGGCAGCGATGCAGGTGTGGCATCAACATTGGCACAGCAGGAGGGAGATAAGTGGGTTCTGAACGGAACCAAAGCCTGGATAACCAACTGCTGGGACGCTTCCGCCACCGTCGTTTTTGCCACAACAGACAAAAGCCTAAAACACAAGGTTCGATGTGTGGTGAATCAACTGATTTGAAAAAGATTGATTATACAGTGTAATTGTAATTAATATTTTTTTATTTCATAAAATTTGAAGAGCTGAAATTATTTGATTTGATTTTATGTATTCACAGAGCGAATAGGGAATTTTCAAATAAGAAATACATTATAAAATTATTTATTTGATATATTATTTAAAAATCAGGGAATTAGTGCATTCCTAGTGCCGATGCCTCATCCGGGGTTGTCTTTAGGGAAGAAAGAAGACAAACTGGGAATTCGAGCTTCATCGACTGCCAATATTATTCTGGAAGACTGCCGCATCCCACTCGGCAACATGCTGGGAGAGCGAGGAATGGGCTTTAAGATTGCAATGGTATGATTTTAAAGGAGCTGTATGTTATTTTGTGACTGTACTTCTGTACTAAAGCATAAAAATAGCATAATATGTTTGCAGATATTTAGGAAACGTGTTCACATGCTTCTTCAGCCAGTTATTCTAATTTTGAAATGTGCATTTTGTGTCAGAATGCCTGTTTTTGTTTTGGTCTGTGTGATTCCGCCCACTGTCAGTTTACCCAATAGTATTTCGGCACCCCTTGTTGCCAGTTGGCGGAAAACACAGCGTATTGCAGCCATAGAAGCCAACAAATGAACTTGGTCAGAGATCACAGATTCTACCTGACCTAAAAAGCTTTGGCATCCATCTAAAAACCTCTGTGACCAGAGGCATATTAAAATGCGGATAAATCAACTAATCGACTTACACAGTAAGGCTCGTCACGTTTTATTGTCAATTGCACTCGTTCCTTTTGCGTGTCCTCAATCTGGCAACCCGCTTGAGTGTCGAGTCTGAGGAGGAGGAATCAATATTACTCTGCACCTTTAACATGCTTTTCTCATGTCAGTGTAAATAAAAACATTGCATTTTAGTCAAGTTATAAAACTAAAGCTCTTTCCCATTTGCATTTTATTTGCTTTGTTTACATGTGATCTAACGCAGTTGTTTTACGTCTAACAGCAAACTCTGGACAGCGGGCGGCTTGGTATCGCAGCACAGGCTCTTGGTATCGCTCAGGCAGCGCTGGACTGTGCAGCTGATTACGCTCATAAAAGAACAGCTTTCGGCGCTCCAATTGGGAAACTGCAGGCGATACAGGTGATACACTGACTATAACTCTCCCTGTGTGGCATTCAGAGGGAAAGTGGAAAGGTTTAGTGTTTTCATCTTTCATGATTCAGCTGCTGACGTTTCTCTATAAATGTCTCTTTCAGTTTAAACTAGCAGACATGGCCTTGGCCATAGAGAGCGCTCGACTTCTCACCTGGAGAGCTGCAATGCTGAGGGACGCAAAGAAACCTTTCACTAAGGTTAGTCTGTTTTCTCATACTTGACTATTGTTAAGGTTATGGTAAATGTGCTAATGGTTTATTTATACTTGTGGTTAGCGGTGCAATGAAAACACACCTTAGCAACTTAATATGCATCTCTAAGTAGTCCCTGCTCAAACTCTAGATGTATGTGTGTGTGTTTGTTTGTTCTGCAGGAAGCTGCTATGGCTAAACTGGGCGCATCGGAGGCTGCTACGTTTGTCTCTCACCAGGTAATCATCCAATGTTTTTAATAGTAGATATTTTATTTCTAAAACAAGAAACCCATCATTCTGTAGATGCACTAACATGAGTATTTTGTTGAAATGTGAAGGCCATCCAGGTGCTGGGCGGTATGGGTTACGTCACAGACATGCCTGCTGAGAGACACTACCGTGACGCCCGTATCACAGAGATATAAAAACACAACACACAGACACAGAGATTAGTCATCGCCAACAACATTCTCAAAGAATATCAACAGTAGGAGAGCTGATGTTCATGTCAACTCGCTCTGTTACCACACTGTGCCTGGATTGGCTGATCTGGTCGGTCACAGATCTCAGGACTGTGTTACTGTGACTGGCCACTGAAGATGTATTAACGGTCCTCTCTCAGAGATTGAGTGACACAAGACTGTTTGAAGTGCATTTTCTCATTTGTGCCACAAGAGTGCAGTAGATAGTCTGGATCGTTTGCCTTTGTATCATAAGAGGGCGCTGACTGCAAGGACTAATTTTCACTGGGAATTTAAATGCATATCTGATTGTACATAATGAATTGTAGGTATTTGTTATGCATTTTAAAATGAATAATGATATCAAGTTGTAACACTATGATTTATTTAAAGTTGTTTTATTGTAACAGCTTATTGTAATTCTAAGATTCCTCTGCAGCAAATGTTCTGTTGATATCATTTGGTTTTAATCTTGGTTAGAGGGAAATTGTTCATGAAACACAGTTTAAGGATTTTTAAACTGCTTGCATGCACTGGTACAGGTTCCGTTTTTTTCTTTTGAGAGAATATGATGCAAACTTAAATAATGCACTGCTGAAATTATGAACAATTTTAAGTGGGCTCCAACTGTCTTGAGATCAAGAGTGAAAATGCTTCTGTTTTGTCTAATTTAATCAAAAATGCATTAACAGCATACAAATGTGTAAATGATTAGTTTGATTAGTGACCTAGAAAAAGCAGAATATAAAATTTCTTATTCGTTTTACATAATTATATTCTATCAATATCGTATTTTTCAATATGTTTACAGGTTTAGGAGAAAACATTTTATGCATATGGTCCTAAAATTAAAATAATAACTGTTTATTTAACTTAAATAATCACTGTTTAATGCATTTGTTAGTGCATGTTCTTCCTGAGTTTGTGACCAGATTTGGCTTCAGTCCCACCTGCTGCTGGTCTCTAATCTATCGGCCACATCAGGGGAGAAGAGGCGCCATCATTTCTCGTGTGCCGTTTCTGTCATTATAGAGCGTGTGAGCTTTTTCTGCAGGACTCAGAACTGGGTCAAAGTTCCAGTATTTCGGAGACCTGAAATGATGCTTATGAGGATAAAGGTCACGGCTCTGACTTTTGTTGTCCTTGCTTTAACAATGCCTAAGATCATACTTAGGCATAACAAAAAAACAAAAACAAATTGTAATCAGTGCAGGTTAAAGGAATGGTTCCCCCCAAAATTAAAATTTGCTGCTAAACATGCAGCTTTTCACTTCACATGACATTAACTGATGGACTGGAGTGGTGAGGATTATTGTGATGTTTTTATCAGCTGTTTGGACTCTCATTCTGACGGCACCCATTCACTGCAGAGGATCCATTGGTGAGCAAGTGATGTAAAGTTACATTTCTCCAAATCTGTTCTGATGAACCATATTGGGCGACCTGTAATTTTTTAGCAAATTTTCATTTTTGGATGAATTCTTCCTTTAACCTGCAATGGTTAAAGTGGCCACCCAAAAAGCACACACACACACACACAATAAAAAATGTATTAATGTTGCATTAGGTTATTTTGAAAAAGATTGCAAAAGCACACCTTTCAAAGCAAAACATTTCACAAAAGGAAAACTAATAATGCATTTTTTATTATTATACTTTATATTTGTTTTTAAGTATATTGGCAACATATATTAGTAATTTAGGGAGCCATTTAGTATATTTATTCACTTCAATATTAAAACAAGCAGGAAATGGTGGTTTATTTTAGAAAGAAATCAGTAATCCAAAACAAAACTGCTTTTTCTACAGTTCTTTTATTACTAAAGTGTACACTTCAGACACTTCACGCATAAGAAACGTGCATCATTTATGTACCATCAAAATGATGCAACAGGACACATTATTACCAAAAAACTTTTTATTTATTACTTTGAATATGCCCAGATTTACTGAGAAAAGGTTTCATACAACTATGTACAATCAGGAGGTTTAGATGATCAAATCAGTCTCATGTAAAGCTGCAGCCTGGAGTCTAAAGGCAGAACAATAGGCATTATTCAGTGTCTTATTGAAGCACAGAGCGTGTCTAATTAGTGCACTCTCATAAAGCGGAACAAATACAAGAAATATAGACCCTCCCATCTCCCCCCCATTAAGCAAGAGTGATTAACCAAACGATTGAATCAAACGCAAACAAGTGGGCAGCTGACCCTAATATCATTAACTAAGACAAAAATACCCGTGTACATCTAATTGATTATTACCATGACATACTGTTAACGGAGCTAAAGACAGAAAAATACAATCGTCCATAGTTTATACATACATACAGTCAAAGTTTATACATTCTGTCAATTGATTATCTGAATGTTTGCTAAGTTTGGTACAATGCTGACTGCAGTGTGACAATATTTCATCTAAAGCTATTTTAAACTCTTTTTTTGTCATAATGACATGCACTTTTAATGAATATGCAATATTTGTACTTAAAAAAATTGTTTCTCACACTCGTTTAAAAAAAAACTAAGCCGAGTTACAGCACCTAAAAGTACATTTTCATATACATTTTAACCTACTAGTCCATGGTTGAACATTGAGGTTCACACGTAGTTTCGTTTATCATAGTCCCCATTGACTGATGCGCTTTTTGTAGGTGGAGGTATATATTTTAGAGGATACAAGGTTTTCTCATCATGTGGACGAGAGAAACAAAGAATCACTCCTCCGACCAGAAGCATGGAAGATGCTGCCCATCCGATGTAGAGCGCAGCTCCAATTTCTCTCTTCTTTGCATAAGGGACTTGAGGGTCGTAGAAGTCCGAGATGATGTTATTGGCCATCCAGCACAGAGGCACCAACACAAACAAGCCTGCGATGATGTATATCACCCCACCGACGTTGACTACTTTGGCTTTGATGGACTCTTTACTGATGCAGTTGGTGCACTGAGCGCCGGCGATGGTTATCATCAGAGCCTGGACACCCAAAACCGCTGAGATGACCGTCAGAGCCCGAGCAGTCTGGAGGTCAGTGGTCAGTGCCAGGACGGAGTCGTGCATTTTACACTGCATCTGACCCGTGCTCTGGACCACGCAGGACATCCACAGCCCGTCCCAGATGTTTTGTGCCACCACGATGTTGCCCTCGATGAAGGCGGACACTTTCCACATGGGCAGCCCGCAAGCCACCATCACCAAAAGGGTCCCAGTGACGCTCAAGCCAAGTCCAATAATCTCCAGACATGCAGAAATCATCTTTGCAAAGTTTTTTATGCTCTCTTTCTCAGTTTAGAAAGTCTAGAACCCGTAATTTGTTCAAAGTAGGTGTTTAGAGCAGAAGTATCTCTACATCGCTCGGCAGTGTTGTAGAATGAGATGCGGTGGAAGTTTTCTGCTCTTGTGTGTCGGGAGGATGCTGTTATATAGTGCACGCGCGACAAAGAGGAGCGGCTCCAGCCAATCAGAGCGCAGCGCGTCTCCCGACAGCCAATCAGAAGTGAGAGCCGCTGGACAAAACTGTCTGCATCATTCGCAAGGAGTTTTCAAAAGTGACCGTAGTAGCAACATACTAAGTGTGACTTCCTTGTCTTCCTGGTATTCTTTAGGTAGAAAAGCCCCCTTTACACAAGGGGGGGCAGGTGTCAAAACAAGCACTGAAATTTATAAGATAAGAGAGAATTTCGTTATGTTGAAAAGGCACGTCAGAAATAATTGAGAAATGAGGTGGTGAAGCGGCCACGACGCGAATCAATTATTTTAGTTAAAGGGGTCATATGATGCTGCTAAAAAGAACATTATTGTGTGTGTGTGTGTGTGTGACAGAGAGAGAGAGAGAGAGAGAGTTTACCTGCATATTTCCCCGTCTCTCTCTCAATCGCTTCAGTAGGCCTACAGATTAACAGAATATTTTCGTCTATTTAGTTATTTTTAAATTCACAGTTATTACTTTTAAAAGTGAATGTTTATCCGAGTTAATTAACCTTTTTCAGCTGTTTATTGAAGTTCTGTTGCCATGATTGCCACTCAGTGGACGTTTGGCGAAATGATATGCAACTGTAATTCGGTCAACAAATTGAAACTACTTCATAGAAGTCTTTAGGAAGCAACGCTAACAACGCAAAGTAACCAACTATCTACACCTAGCAACCAGACAGAACTGCCTAGGAACGTCTAGTAACCAGCCAGAACCCACAAGCAAGCAGCTAGAACACACTAGCAATACGCCAGAACCTCCTAGCAACCAACTAGACCATCTTAAAGGAACACTCCACTATTTTTGAAAATAGGCTAATTTTCCAACTCCCCTAGAGTTAAACAGTTGAGTTTTACCGTTTTCGAATCCATTCAGCCGATTTCTGGGTCTGGCGGTAGCATATGGGCTTACATTTCTGCCACAATTCTGGGCGCGAAAGATCATATTTTGAGCCCACAAAAGTGCGTTTTGCACGCGCGCGAACTGAGTTTTGTGGAGAAAATGTTTGTCTCGCAAAGAAGAAAGTATTTCGAGCGCACGAAAATCAATTTTGCATTTAAAATAAGTTTTTGGATGTGTGCAGACCTTCTCTTTTGCGCGTGCAACGTTTCACTAGCTTGCTCACCTGATGCCCACCCTCTGTGCTCGCTAAATGCCAACAGCTCGCGTGCTCAACACAACCCAGCGTTACAATATGCCATAATTCCAGCCAATCAGAGACGAGGCTGCTAAATTCTTGATTGGCTGCCCTGACAACCACTCACAACATTCCTTGCATTACCTCGACAGCAGAAGAGGAAAAATATTTCCTATTTAAAACTTGTGACTTCTGTAGTTACATCATGTACTAAGACCGACGGAAAATGAAAAGTTGCGATTTTCTAGGCCGATATGGCTAGGAACTATAATCGCATTCCGGCGTAATAATCAAGGAACTTTGCTGCTGTACCATGAGTAGCGCCTGAAAATAGTCCCCAGCTAGGTAACTTCCA